AGCTTATTCAGATGATGCTAAACGTTTAATTAGAAATGTGTTGAATTTTTTTTAAAAAGAGAGCAAACGTAGCAAACTGATTTATAAGGTGTCGGATTACATGAAACATACAACTTTTGCTCTTGGCATGAAAAAGAACATCGTGCTAAAAATTGTGAAAAATAACCAACAACCAAGAAACAAAACCTTGTACAAAAAGGTAGGCATCCAAAGTTAGATTCTTTTGACATCAGGGTCATCAGAGATGTCATTCGCAGGCTATTTGCTAGAAATGAACACCTGTCCACAAGAAAGTTAAAACACATCCTAGCAGAGGATCACGACATTAATGTTTCCAGGTTTATGCTAAGCAAACTACTGCTCAAATTTGGATACAAGTACAAGAAGGTAGCAAACCAGAAACTTGTAATGTGTGAGAGATCTGATATTGTGAAAATAAGGTGTAACTATCTGAGAGAAATTAAGCAGGCAAGAGAGGATGGGTTCGAACCTATATATCTGGATGAGACCTGGGTCAATGGAAACCATACTGCTGCCAGACAGTGGCTACCCACTGATCCCAGTGATGGTAGGAAAATACCAATCAGGCAAAGGTGAACGTTTAATCGTTCTTCATGCTGGTTCCCACCATGGATTCCTACCTGGGTGTGATCTGGTATTTCGGTCAAAGAGCACAGATGGTAGGGACTATCATACAGAAATGAACTCAACGGTTTTCACACAGTATGTTGAGGAACAATTGTTGCCAGCTCTGCCTTACAAAAGTCTTGTTGTCATGGACAATGCTCCCTATCAGTGTTCGAGATCCAAACAATAGCCCAACTTCCAATACAAAGAAGTCAGATATGCAGCAATGGCTAACAAATAACAATATACAATTTTCAATTAAGGCCACTAAACCACAGTTGTACTTTTAGATTAAACCTAACAAACCTCCACCCACATATAACATTGACAACATGCTACGCCAACACCGCCATAAGGTCTTGAGATTACCACCGTACCACTGTGATCTCAACCCAATCAAACTTATCTGGGGAGACCTTAAAAGTACAGTGGCCCGGAAAAAAATCAATCATTCAAGTTGAATAATGTCAAGCACATTGTCAACACTGCTATATGTGACATTGACATTTTGCGCTGGCATGCATGTGTTGAACATGTCAAGAAGGTGGAGAAAGAGTACTGGCTCAAAGATGGCTTGAAGGAGCAAACAGTTAATCCAGTTGTCATTCGTCTGGACATTGATGACTCCTCTGTGGAAGAATGGAGTGAACTTGATGAAGTTTAATTCTGTTATTATATTTACAGATAATAATAGTATCCAGCCAGATATGCTCAAAGAAATATAACTTCTTTTAACAATGACAGCACTGACTAATTCCAACGACTTATAGTGTAACATGAAACACTCATTTCACATAAAATTATCATGAAAATATAAATATTAACTATCTATATGCTTAAAGCTATTAGAAATGCATTGCTTAATTCGGAATGTGAACGACATCAAAACATAACACTTTTGTCTTCATTCTATCTTTTCTTCAATGAGTGTGCATGACTGTGTGTGCTTGTGTCTGAGGAGCGGGGCTTTAACAGTGGTTGAGTTCTAACCATAGGTGGTCCGATTAATGATTTAGTGTAAATATACTTTCTGTGTTCTTTAAATGCATTTCCACTTAGGTACTGCATAAACAAAATATGACATTAACATTACAAATATAAAGATTTTAACCTACAGAATAATTCTCACTAATGGGTTTTGTGGTTAATGTTGAACGACTCAGAGAAACAAACTCCGTATGATGGTTAACAGTTGGCACCCACCTTACCCTATTCACGACCAGTGACACCTCTTCATACCTGTCACGTGCATAGCTGACCTACATTGACGAACGTTGACCTTTATGACCCAACACTGCCGCTGTTACAGGTCATTGGCTCCCTCCCTCTGCAAGCCGTCTGCGTTCTGCTGTTTATTTTGTTGACAGTTACATAGACAGATTCTTTAATACAAATGCATAAAATCGGTGATTTACAATGTGATTAGGTTGTCTGACAAAACATCCACTTGCACAGTTTGAGATCGATTGGATCATTGGATGAAGAGATATTTCCCAAAAAACGGGTCCACATGCATTTCATGCCAAACTACAGCAAGTTTCATACATCAAAAGTTGGTCCGACTTGCACGTTCACACCATGCAACGTGTTCCATGCAACAAATTGTATACAACTAGTTGTACTATGTTAAGACCCTAAGCATGAAACAACAACACTACTGAATACAAATTAAGCAATTTTTAATCTAATGGCTCTGCATCACGTTGAACATTTGCTTGGATTCGTCCAAATAATAACAGACCATCAGAAAGTTATTTCTCTTAAGGGGATGATAAACATTTCAGAAGAGAAGTAGCCAGTAGGATGTATATAACATGGCATAGTCCACTTTGATGACAGATTCATATCCTGGTTGGATAATGGCCAACTAAGTGGACTGTTCCATCCTGTTTACAGGCCAGACCTTGAGAACTCGGTGACATCTTTCCAACAGGGCACTTAACCTACATCTGCATCCAATGACCCATACCTGCAATACCCTGCGGAATGGTTTCTTCCAAACTTGGACCAATCCTTCAACACTATAAAATCTTCAAACTTCTCTCCCCTATTACACAGTGGACTCTTCCTAGCAGTTAAAGAATAACTTCATTACTATAGTTACGTCAGTGACATACTTGTCATAGCAACTTTTATTTTTAACTTAACCAATTTGAATGTAATTGAGAATAGAATTCCATTTATAGAAATTCAAATTTCAGAATTTAATCACAAATTTAATAGCATATGTTCACAACATAAATGGATCCAAGTTTCTCTGAGTAGATTAACTACAGGGTGAAGATGATTTCCACACAGATGAGCAAATCTACAACAGGGAGATGCAGTAATAGTTTTCATACAGATTTGCTTTGCTGCACACATTAATTGCACTAAATATGCCAGGCAAATATACAGCTTTGGAAAACACTAATGCACACACATTATGTAAACATTTCCTTAATTCAAATCAAGAACCTGTTATCAGAGACCATATAAGACCATATAATACCATTATATGGTCTCTGCTGTTATACACATTGGAGGTGAGGTGAGGTGAAATTGGGTTTAACGTTGTGCTTGAAAATATTTCGCTCATATGACGACGTGCATGCATGTGTATGTGTATGTGCGGCTGCTTGTACTAGCCCAGACTTAAGCTGGTTTTATAGTGCTAGCCCACTGAGATACCATGCCGCAGTGAAGCATGAATACCCCACTCAGACATGTTATACTGACTCAAAGCCGACCAGTCCTTTTGGTATGAGGCGGTCGGGGATCAAATCCGTGACCTTCCGCTCTCCGGGCGGACGCTCTAACCACTACACCACGGAGGCGGTCATAAACACTGGAAGTCAACCAATATACATGTTCTGAAGCAACAGTGTTCACAAGCCCATATCAAAGGGTAGTTTCCATGCTAGACAACCTGCTTGCCTTCAGATGAGATGCCACTACACATATTATCTTTGTGAACATCAAAGTGTTTGCAGCTAAACATTTCATCTCATTCCAGAAATGTTAGACCTAATAAAAAAAATGTTGTTCCGATTACACCTCTATAAAATTTAGGGTAGGTAGGTAGGATTTTTTTAAAATATTTTTTCTTTAGAAGTAAAGAACAAACTAATAACACATTTATCAATGTGTAATTGTTTATTCAATCAAGCTTGAAGCCATCATGTCAACTTTCTCTATCAGAATAACCGATGTCTATCGGTAAGGGAAAAACAGTGGTATCTAAAAGCTTATTTTGTTCATTCTGCTTTATAAAAAAATAGGGTCGGCATCAATATTCAAGGCTCAGTTGGGTAATCTGAACCACAAGATTTTTTTTAGGCCTTATCATTAAATTTGTGGATGAAATAATGTGATAATAGAAACGGACACTTCAATAAACAGGAATTGGTAATTCAAAATAGAACAACTTTAAACATCTAAATTTATCACATTTATACAATAGGCTTCCATGCAAAAAATACTGTTCAAATGTGACTGGAGTTACCAAGCTTTTCTGGGAAAAAATATGTCCACTGTCTGCTTGATTTGTATCACTGACTTGATTCTCCTCGTGGACAATGTGGGTAAATGTTTGGTGTTGTATCACAGACTTGATTCTCCTCAATGTGGGTAAATGTTTGGTGGACAATGTGGGTAAATGTTTGGTGTTGTATCACAGACTTGATTCTCCTCGGTGGACAATGTGGGTACCGGTAAATGTTTGGTGTCACCGTTAGCCATGTACATGTCATCATTCTTAAAGGTGATGCAATCATTCCCACGACCCATCTCTTTTATCTCATTAAGTTTAGTTTCAATAATTATTTATTGTTAACTTTTATCTTTCTGGTTTATTTTACAATGAAACTGTGCTTTTTGCATTGCCTCAATATATAGCTGAAAAGATCGCAGTGGAGTGGTAATAGTTATCTTAATAAAGGGACACAACTCATCACAGCTACTTGCAGTATTTTACACTACTAGTATTTGGACAAAAGTTTGAGTAACCATGGTCAGGGCTCCAGATAATTTTTCGACATCAGGAGTACATACTCCTTATGTTTTCAATATAGAAGTACTGGAAAAAATTAAGAGTACATTTAGAGTACTGAATGGAATTTAATGGCATATCAGTAATCTTGTGTTTCGTTTCATATATGCACCACAACATTGCTACTCTTGTGTAAACAGGTCAATAAACAATAAAACAATACTTTTGTCAGATAAATACGTCTGTAAATGATTTTAAGACCGTACACCATTGTTGTGGTGCGTATCTGCTACGTTTTCTAAATTATTTCCTATCGTATCGTGCATATTTTCTATCTGTACATTCACGATCACGGCCCTTATCTGGAGCCCTGATGGTAATATAAGAAAAACGTTTCACTCACGGGAACACCCATTCATTTACGCCATCAATGGCTGCCTGCAGTTCGGCTGGGTAGAAGTTCAGCTCCCGCTGTTCAGGCGTCTTACAGAATGCATTGAACTCTGTGTTGAACATTCTGATAATCTCACTGGACTCATTGTTGACGATTGTCTTCGACTGCTTGTCCCACAGAACAGGTACTGTGATTCTTCCTTGGTATTCTGAAACCAGGCTGCATTAATCATTCCTGCATTCACATATGGGGCTGGTAAAATCAGAACAGTGGTCTGGCAAGTGAACAAGAATGGAGATCATGTGACAAAGTCAGCATTGTCTGATTGTTACCACACTTAGTGAATTTGGGCCCTAATTTCATTAAAGCAATTATTGAAGATATGAATTGTTTTACAAGTTTGAGATGTATGGACTACAGACTGCCCTTTTAAAGACGCTTTTAATAAAACTATCCAGTGACTCTTCTCTACTTTGATGCAGTCCATATCTTTTCCCTTGTATTGACATGCCATATAACTGTTGTATCACAAACCTACCGCCTCACAAGTTCTCTGATATAATCTGACTACCACATATAACTGTTGTATCACAAACCTACCACCTCACAAGTTCTCTGATATAATCTGACTACCACATATAACTGTTGTATCACAAACCTACACATCACAAGTTCTCTGATATAATCTGACTACCACATATAACTGTTGTATCACAAACCTACCACCTCACAAGTTCTCTGATATAATCTGACTACCACATATAACTGTTGTATCACAAACCTACCGCCTCACAAGTTCTCTGATATAATCTGACTACCACATATAACTGTTGTATCACAAACCTACCGCCTCACAAGTTCTCTGATATAATCTGACTACCACATATAAATGTTGTATCACAAACATACCACCTCACAAGTTCTCTGATATAATCTGACTACCACATATAACTGTTGTATCACAAACCTACCACCTCACAAGTTCTCTGATATAATCTGACTACCACATATAAATGTTGTATCACAAACCTACCGCCTCACACAAGTTCTCTGATATAATCTGACTACCACATATAACTGTTGTATCATAAACCTACGCCTCACAAGTTCTCTGATATAATCTGACTACCACATATAACTGTTGTTCATCACAAACCTACCACCTCACAAGTTCTCTGATATAATCTGACTACCACATATAACTGTTGTATCATAAAACCTACGCCTCACAAGTTCTCTGATATAATCTGACTACCACATATAACTGTTGTTCATCACAAACCTACCACCTCACAAGTTCTCTGATATAATCTGACTACCACATATAACTGTTGTATCACAAACCTACCACATCACAAGTTCTTTGATATAATCTGACTACCACATATAACTGTTGTATCACAAACCTACCACCTCACAAGTTCTCTGATATAATCTGACTACCACATATAACTGTTGTATCACAAACCTACCGCCTCACAAGTTCTCTGATATAATCTGACTACCACATATAACTGTTGTATCACAAACCTACCACATCCACAAGTTCTTTGATATAATCTGACTACCACATATAACTGTTGTATCACAAACCTACCACCTCACAAGTTCTCTGATATAATCTGACTACCACATATAACTGTTGTATCACAAACCTACCACCTCACAAGTTCTCTGATATAATCTGACTACCACATATAACTGTTGTATCACAAACCTACCACATCACAAGTTCTTTGATATAATCTGACTACCACATATAACTGTTGTATCACAAACCTACCACCTCACACAAGTTCTCTGATATAATCTGACTACCACATATAACTGTTGTATCATAAACCTACCGCCTCACAAGTTCTCTGATATAATCTGACTACCACATATAACTGTTGTTCATCACAAACCTACCACCTCACAAGTTCTTTGATATAATCTGACTACCACATATAACTGTTGTATCACAAACCTACCACATCACAAGTTCTTTGATATAATCTGACTACCACATATAACTGTTGTATCACAAACCTACCACCTCACAAGTTCTCTGATATAATCTGACTACCCATATATAACTGTTGTATCACAAACCTACCACATCACAAGTTCTTTGATATAATCTGACTACCACATATAACTGTTGTATCACAAACCTACCACCTCTCACAAGTTCTCTGATATAATCTGACTACCACATATAACTGTTGTATCATAAACCTACCGCCTCACAAGTTCTCTGATATAATCTGACTACCACATATAACTGTTGTTCATCACAAACCTACCACCTCACAAGTTCTCTGATATAATCTGACTACCACATATAACTGTTGTATCACAAACCTACCACATCACAAGTTCTTTGATATAATCTGACTACCACATATAACTGTTGTATCACAAACCTACCACCTCACAAGTTCTCTGATATAATCTGACTACCACATATAACTGTTGTATCACAAACCTACCGCCTCACAAGTTCTCTGATATAATCTGACTACCACATATAACTGTTGTACCACAAACCTACCAGCCTCACAAGTTCTCTGATATAATCTGACTACCACATATAAATGTTGTATCACAAACATACCACCTCACAAGTTCTCTGATATAATCTGACTACCACATATAACTGTTGTATCACAAACCTACCACCTCACAAGTTCTCTGATATAATCTGACTACCACATATAAATGTTGTATCACAAACCTACCGCCTCACAAAGTTCTCTGATATAATCTGACTACCACATATAACTGTTGTATCACAAACCTACCACCTCATAAGTTCTCTGATATAATCTGACTACCACATATAACTGTTGTATCACAAACCTACCACCTCACAAGTTCTCTGATATAATCTGACTACCACATATAACTGTTGTATCACAAACCTACCACCTCACAAGTTCTCTGATATAATCTGAGCTACAACATATAACTGTTGTATCCACAAACCTACCGCCTACCACAAGTTCTCTGATATAATCTGACTACCACATATAACTGTTGTATCACAAACCTACAGCCTCACAAGTTCTCTGATATAAGCTAACTACCACATATAACTGTTGTATCACAAAACCTACCGCCTCACAAAGTTCTCTGATATAAGCTAACTACCACATATAACTGTTGTATCACAAACCTACCACCTCACACAAGTTCTCTGATATAAGCTAACTACCACATATAACTGTTGTATCACAAACCTACCGCCTCACAAGTTCTCTGATATAATCTGACTATGACATATAACTGTTGTATCCACAAACCTACTGTACCTCCACAAGTTCTCTGATATAATCTGACTACCACATATAACTGTTGTATCACAAACCTACCGCCTCACAAGTTCTCTGATATAATCTGACTACGACATATAACTGTTGTATCACAAACCTACCGCCTCACAAGTTCTCTGATATAATCTGACTACGACATATAACTGTTGTATCACACACCTACCGCCTCACAAGTTCTCTGATATAATCTGTCACAGTGCATGTCAGATTATAATTATGAAGCTGAACTGAAGACAGTGCAAGAGAGCATTGTTTAGAGTTCACCTATTTGGTGTGAGTGAAGGTGTAGCCTTGCATTAGTACATAGGTATTTTAGGAATGCTTCTTTCATAAGAGTTGTCTCCACTTTGCCATCACCCTCTTGCCAAGTTCAACCTTATTGAGACCAGATCTTAAAACATCTGATAAATCCAGCAAAAGAAGTCACTTCAGGTGAACTTACCTATCAGTATCATGGCTTTCAGATGGTACTTGTCGGGATTTAAGCCCATTTACAGTGCTAACCTGCTAGCCACAATTCAACAAAGACTCCATTCAGACATAATAAGTATCCCAAGCCTCACAGCAATTGTATCATAACCCCTTTAAGAGAGAGAGAGAGAGAGAGAGAGAGAGAGAGAGAGAGAGAGAGAGAGAGAGAGAGAGAGAGAGAGAGAGAGAGAGAGACAGAGAGAGAGAGAGAGACAATATTCAGAGAGAGATATCAGGGTGGTATGCTTTACACCAGATCATGGGCAGATATGGGCTTCACACAATGTAAACATGTACAAAATCAAACCCGGGTCTTCAGCGTGACAAGCAGATGCTTTAACCATTAGGCTACCCCACCACCACTCCAGGTTGTAAGGTACAAGATACACCGGAGAAAGCTTGATGACGAGGAAGTGCATGATACTGACAAAACATTCCAGCTATACAATTTTATCATTTTTAAATATGTTGCAGACACGAAACAGATTGACATTTGACACTGAAGATACTTTGAGATAGTCATAAAATTTAGACAAAATAGGTTTGCTTCAATCTGTGCTTCTAATTGATCCCTGAGGATTAAGTAAAAGTATGTTTTCATGACAATTTGTAAACCATATCAATATCAACAAAAATTACGTAAATTCTAATTACCTGGATCAGCTTTCAAGTAGATATCTCTAAGGTAGGTGGCCCCATTCAGTGTGTCAAGTGTCAATTCTAATTACCTGGATCAGCTTTCAAGTAGATATCTCTAAGGTAGGTGGCCCCGTTCAGTGTGTCAAGTGTCAATTCTAATTACAGGCATCCCTCGCCATAACGTGGGTCTTGGGGTCCATGGATGACCCCCCGCGTTATTAGACACCCGCGTTATAAGTAACGATTACATAACGCGGAACAAAGGCCAAGTAAAATCGTATTTTCCATGGACATAACAAAACTGCTATTTCGTGTATTGTGCCCAGTCAAAACTATATCGTATTGTTGGAGGTGAAAAAACAACAAAACTTTGTAAATAAAAAATAGATGTATGTACATGAAACTTGCAATCAAACATCACAAGACATGATAATTCAATTGTTGTTCCTGTCACGCTACCTGTTATTCAACTAAGCCGGAAATAGCAATCAGCTGGGCACACATCGATGTTTTGGTCCAATGTACCGGTGATTCATTTAAAAACAATCCGAAAATATAACATCCAAGAATTTCTATTCCATTATCAGAATAATTGATATGTCAAGCAGTTATTCTAACAGAGATCTTATATATTGCTATCGTATAAGTATAATGCATGTTTTCTACGAACATATTTAACATAATAATAAGCATTGCTAAGCACTTTGGGTTACCTGGCTGGATACATTTTACGTAGGAGACAGTTTGACAAGTCACCGCTGACTTCCCGCGGTACGTGCCACTTTGATTGTAAAAACAAAATGTTGGCAATTAATTGTCAAATATGACTTCAACGAGTCAATAACGCGGGTCTTGGGGTCAATGGATGACAAGGCTGTAATCTGTTCGTGATTGCTGAGAAAAATGTGAAATTGGTGCTCTCGCGGTAGGCGCGAAAAACGGACCCTCACGAATGTGGTAAGCGGGTGTTGTATGGAATGAGGTAATGCCATTTTACTCACGGTTTCTCCGTTGTTATTGTAAACAGTTTTAATGAATGAAAATGGGATTGAATTTAATCAAATAAAATGTGTTTTCTGACATCATACATTCTCGGATGGCGGTGTATACCTGCGCAATTACGCGGTGTGTTGCATCATAGCAACCGTTGTAAGTACTCGGCTGATGGCATGTCTTTATGATAAAGTTATTACGATGTTTCGCTGTTCATCAATTATTATTGAAAAAGACCCTGTATGTTTTAAGCATCTTAAAAAACATGGATATATACGATAAACACTGTTAATTGCAATCCGCACTGAATTTCACTAGTTTACTACGTGATTAACCAGAGCTCAACAGCGGATTTGTTGATGTGCTATTTTCGATGACGTGAATATGTGTGATCACTGGGCAACTTGTTTTTATGGGAGCCACGGATTACCCCGCAGTTTAACCGAATCCGCGGTATCGCGAAGAGCGTTATTGCGAGGGATGACTGTAGCTGGATCAGCTTTCAAGTAGATATCTCTAAGGTAGGTGGCCCCATTCAGTGTGTCAAGTGTCAATTCTAATTACCTGGATCAGCTTTCAAGTAGATGTCTCTGAGGTAAGTGGCCCCATTCAGTGTGTCAAGTGTAAATTCTAATTACCTGGATCAGCTTTCAAGTAGATGTCTCTGAGGTAGGTGGCCCCATTCAGTGTGTCAAGTGTAAATTCTAATTACCTGGGTCAGCTTTCAAGTAGATATCTCTAAGGTAGGTGGCCCCATTCAGTGTGTCAAGTGTCAATTCTAATTACCTGGATCAGCTTTCAAGTAGATATCTCTAAGGTAGGTGGCCCCATTCAGTGTGTCAAGTGTCAATTCTAATTACCTGGATCAGCCTTCAAGTAGATATCTCTAAGGTAGGTGGCCCCATTCATTGTGTCAGAGTGTCAAGTGTCAATTCTAATTACCTGGATCAGCTTTCAAGTAGATATCTCTAAGGTAGGTGGCCCCATTCAGTGTGTCAAGTGTAAATTCTAATTACCTGGATCAGCTTTCAAGTAGATATCTCTAAGGTAGGTGGCCCCATTCAGTGTGTCAAGTGTCAATTCTAATTACCTGGATCAGCTTTCAAGTAGATATCTCTAAGGTAGGTGGCCCCATTCAGTGTGTCAAGTGTCAATTCTAATTACCTGGATCAGCCTTCAAGTAGATATCTCTAAGGTAGGTGGCCCCATTCAGTGTGTCAAGTGTCAATTCTAATTACCTGGATCAGCTTTCAAGTAGATATCTCTAAGGTAGGTGGCCCCATTCAGTGTGTCAAGTGTCAATTCTAATTACCTGGATCAGCTTTCAAGTAGATATCTCTAAGGTAGGTGGCCCCATTCAGTGTGTCAAGTGTGTAAATTCTAATTACCTGGATCAGCTTTCAAGTAGATATCTCTAAGGTAGGTGGCCCCATTCAGTGTGTCAAGTGTCAATTCTAATTACCTGGATCAGCTTTCAAGTAGATATCTCTAAGGTAGGTGGCCCCATTCAGTGTGTCAAGTGTAAATTCTAATTACCTGGATCAGCTTTCAAGTAGATATCTCTCTAAGGTAGGTGGCCCCATTCAGTGTGTCAAGTGTCAGATTCTAATTACCTGGATCAGCTTTCAAGTAGATATCTCTAAGGTAGGTGGCCCCATTCAGTGTGTCAAGTGTCAATTCTAATTACCTGGATCAGCTTTCAAGTAGATATCTCTAAGGTAGGTGGCCCCATTCAGTGTGTCAAGTGAACATCCCGGCTTCTGTAAACAAACATGTGATGGAGCTGGAGTCATGTGGCATGGTCATGATAATTATAATAACAATCACAGACACATCAGTGTTGGATGTTTGAGTGTCTACACCATGTGACAAGCAGTTATTTCGAATAGGGTTTTATTTCCAATTGGGTGTTCTGTATAGACAGTTAAGGCACTGGGAGTATATATTAACAATCCTATTGTGATACTAACCAATAAAATTGCTAAGGACAGAGGGTTTGTATGAATACAATATACTGTATCTGCATTGTATTACTGTTTTCTAGTAAATCAATAAACAAGCAAAATGTCTTACAACCTATACTGAGGATACCTCAACCTATATTGAGGAGGTCCCTGCCTGGCGCTCGACATTAATGGGTACAACAAGGACTGGTCAGCTCGGAGTCAGTATAATGTGTCTGAGTGGGGTATCCATGCTTCACTGCGGCATGGTATCTCAGTGGGCTAGCACTATAAAACCAGCTTAAGTCTGGGCTAGTACAAGCAGCCGCACATACACACACACACGCATGCGTCATCATATGAGCGAAATATTCTCAAGCACGATGTTAAATCCAATTTCACCTCACCTCACCTATAGTGAGGATAACCAAAGATACTTGTACTTGTATTTACTGTGATATGTTTTTGTCACTACACTGTAATGGTATTAACCTTACCATCATTCATCAAGTACGCCAAGGGCAATAACCACGGTCAGAAAGCACAATAACAAACATCGGTATGAGTAACAGCTGCTTGTCAGTTTTATGAATTCATGTAAGTTTGGGACAAAATCTTGACAGAACAAACGCAAACAACAAAGTCACACAAATATTTTGCAGATTTTTGAAAATATACAATTTCGTAGCCAACCTCATCAGTGAATTTCCAACCACCATCTCCTAGTAGCCAATCCACGACTGTACAAGAGATGGCATCTTCCAGACCCTTCAGTGTACGAAGTATTAGGGTGCGGTGGGCCCACGGACATGCCAGGGACACGTACAGGTGGTAGCGATTGGACTCTGCCTTAAATCCGCTTGATCCATTAGCTGAAGAAAGTAGTGACCAGATGGAGTCATTGTGACATAAGGGAGATAACTATCATCTACAGCTCCTTCCAGTATTGTTTCAAGTACTACAGATATGTCCTGGTAGGGTGAGGTGGTAAGGTTAGGGTGGTATGGAAAGAGGCTGTATGTGGTGTTGTGTTGTGTTGATGGAAGGATGGGATGATGTGGTGTTGTGTTGTGTTGATGGAAGGATGGGATGATGTGGTGTATGTGGTGTGGTGTTGTGTTGTGTTGATGGAGGGATGGGATGATGTGGTGTTGTGTTGTGTTGATGGAAGGATGGGATGATGTGGTGTTGTGTTGTGTTGTGTTGATGGAAGGATGGGATGATGTGGTGTATGTGTGTGTGGTGTTGTGTTGATGGAAGGATGGGATGATGTGGTGTATGTATGTGGTGTTGTGTTGTGTTGATGGAAGGATGGGATGATGTGTTGTGTGTTGTGTTGATGGAAGGATGGGATGATGTTGTGTATGTGGTGTTGTGTTGTGTTGATGGAAGGATGGGATGATGTGGTGTATGTGGTGTGTTGTGTTGATGGAAGGATGGGATGATGTGGTGTTGTGTTGTGTTGATGGAAGGATGGGATGATGTGGTGTATGTGGTGTTGTGTTGTGTTGATGGAAGGATGGGATGATGTGGTGTATGTTGTGTTGTGTTGATGGAAGGATGGGATGATGTGGTGTATGTGGTGTTGTGTTGTGTTGATGGAAGGATGGGATGATGTGGTGGTGTTGTGTTGTGTTGATGGAAGGATGGGATGATGTGATGTGGTGTTGTGTTGTGTTGATGGAAGGATGGGATGATGTGGTGTATGTGGTGTTGTGTTGATGGAAGGATGGGATGATGTGGTGTATGTGGTGTTGTGTTGATGGAAGGGTGGGATCATGTGGTGTTGTGTTGTGTTGATGGAAGGATGAGATGTGGTGTATGTGGTGTTATGTTGTGTTGTATTGATGGAGGGATGGGATGATGTGGTGTTGTGTTGTGTTGATGGAAGGATGGGATGATATGGTGTATGTGGTGTTGATGGACGGATGGGATGTATGGTTGTATGTGGTGTTGATGGAAGGATGTTGATGGAAGGATGGGATGTTGTGTGTGATATGTGGGATGGTGGTGTTGTGTTGTGTTGATGGATGGAAGGATGGGATGATGTGGTGTATGTGATTGTGTTGATGGAAGGATGGGATGATATGAGTGATATGTATGTGATGATGTGTTGATGGAAGGATGGGATGATATGTGTATGTGGTGTTGTGTTGTGTTGATGGAAGGATGGGATGATGTAGTGTATGTTGTGTTGATGGAAGGATAGGATGATGTGTGTATATGTGTGTGATTGTGTTGTGTTGATGGAAGGATAGGATGATGTGGTGTATGTGGTGTTGTGTTGATGGAAGGATGGGATGATGTGGTGTGGTATGGTGTTGTGTTGATGGAAGGATGGGATGATGTGGTGTATGTGGTGTGGTATTGTGTTGATGGAAGGATGAGATGATGTAGTGTATGTGGTGTGGTGTTGTGTTGTGTTGATGGAAGGATGGGATGATGTGGTGTGTATGTGGTGTTGATGGAAGGATGGGATGATGTGGTGTATGTGTGTTGTGTTGTGTTGATGGAAGGATGGGATGATGTGGTGTTGTGTTGTGTTGATGGAAGGATGGGATGATGTGGTGTTGTGTTGTGTTGATGGAAGGATGGGATGATGTGGTGTTGTGTTGTGTTGATGGAAGGATGGGATGATGTTGTTGTGTTGATATAAGGATGGGATGATGTTGTATTTGTGTTGATGGAAGGATGTGATGATGTGGTGTTGTGTTGTGTTGATGGAAGGATGGGATGATGTGGTGTATTGTGTTGTGTTGTGTTGATGGAAGGATGGGATGATGTGGTGTATGTGGTGTTGTGGTGTTGTGTTGATGGATGAGGATAGGATGATATGATGTATGTGAATGTGTTGATGGAAGGATAGGATGATATGTAGTGCATGTGTGGTGTTGATGGAAGGATGGGATGATGTGGTGTATGTGGTGTTGATGGAAGGATGGGATGATGTGGTGTATGTGGTGTTGATGGAAGGATGGGATGATGTGGTGTATGTGGTGTTGATGGAAGGATGGGATGATATGGTGTATACATATGAGAAATTGTTGATGGAGAGAGATAGGATGATATGAGTGTATGTGTGTTGTATTGTGTTGATGGAAGGATGGGATGATGTGTATGTGTATATGTATGTTGATGGAAGGATAGAGATGATGTGTATATATGTATGTGTAGTGTTGTGTTGTGTTGATGGAAGAGATAGGATGATGTGGTATATATGAGTATGTTGATGTTGATGGAAGAGATAGGATGATGTGTATGTATTTGTGTTGTGTTGTGTTGATGGAAGAGATGAGGATGATGATGTATGTGTATGTTGTATTGATGGAAGAGATAGGATGATATGTATGTATTTGTGTTGTATTGATAGAAGGATAGGATGAGATATGTATGTTGTGTTGATGTGTTGATAGAAGGATAGGATGATATAGTGTATGTGTTGTGTTGTATTGATGGAAGGATGGGATGATGTGGTGTTGTGTTGTGTTGATGGAAGGATGGGATGATGTGGTGTATGTGTAGTGTGGTGTTTGTGTTGATGGAAGGATGGGATGATGTGGTGTATGTGTGTTTGTGTTGTGTTGATGGAAGGATGGGATGATGTGGTGTATGTGGTTATGTGTTGTGTTGATGGAAGGATGGGATGATGTGGTGTATGTGGTGTTGTGTTGTGTTGATGGAAGGATGGGATGATGTGGTATATGTGGTGTTGTGTTGTGTTGATGGAAGGATGGGATGATGTGGTGTTGTGTTGTGTTGATGGAAGGATGGGATGATGTGGTGTATGTGGTGTTGTGTTGATTGATGGGATGATGATGGAAGGATGTGTTGATGATGGAAGGATGGGATGATGTATGTGGTGTTGTATTTGATTGAATGGAAGGATGGGATGATGTGGTGTGTGTTGTGTTGATGGAAGGATGGGATGATGTGGTGTATGTGGTGTTGATGGAAGGATGGGATGATGTGGTGTATGTGGTGTTGATGGAAGGATGGGATGATGTGGTGTGTATGTGGTGTTGTGTTGTGTTGATGGAAGGATGGGATGATGTGGTGATGTGGTGTGGTGTGTGTTGTTGATGGAAGGATGGGATGATGTGTGTGTGTGTGTTGTGTTGATGGAAGGATGGGATGATGTGTGTATGTGTGGTGTTGTGTTGTGTTGATTGATGGAAGGATGGGATGATGTGGTGTATGTGGTGTTGTGTTGGATGGAAGGATGGGATGATGTGGTGTATGTGGTGTTGTGTTGTTGTGTTGATGGAAGGATGGGATGATGTGGTGTATGTGTTGTGTTGATGGAAGGATGGGATGATGTGGTATAGTGTTGTGTTGTGTTGATGGAAGGATGGGATGATGTGTGTGTATGTGTGTTGTGTTGATGGAAGGATAGGATGATATAGTGTATGTGAGTATTGGTGTTGTGTTGATGGAAGGATGGGATGATGTGGTGTTGTGTTGTGTTGATGGAAGGATAGGATGATATGTGTATGTAGTGTAGTGTTGTGTTGATGGAAGGATGGGATGATATAGTAGTATATGGTGTGAGTGTTGTGTTGTATTGATGGAAGGAAGGATAGGATGATGTAGGTGTATGTGTTGTGTTGTTGATGGAGATGATAGGATGATGGATGATATAGATTGATGATGTATTGTATTGTGTTGTGTTGATGGAAGGATAGGATGATGTAGTATATGTGTGGTGTTGTGTTGTGTTGTGTTGAAGAAGGATAGGATGATGTATGTGGTGTATGTTGTGTTGATGGAAGGATAGGATGATGTATATATTGTATGTTGTGTTGATGGAGAAGGATAGGATGATGTAGTGTATATGTAGTGTTGTATTGATTGATGGAAGGATAGGATGATATATGTATATGAAGTGTTGTATTGTGTTGATAGAAGGATAGGATGATGTATAGTGTTGTGTTGTGTTGATGGAAGGATGGGATGATGTAGTGATATGTGTATGTGTTGTGTTGTGTTGATGGAAGGATAGGATGATGTGGTATGTTGTATTGTATTGATGGAAAGGATAGGATGATATAGTATATGTAGTGTAGTATTGTGTTGATAGGAAGGATGATAGATGATATGGTGTATATGTGTAGTGTATTGTATTGTATTGTGTTGTGTTGATAGAAAGGATAGGATGATATGAGTGTGTATGTTGTATTGATGGAAGGATAGGATGATATAGTGTATGTGGTGGTGTTGTGTTGTATTGATGGAAGGATAGGATGATATGTGTATGTTGTATTTGTGTTGATGGAAGGATGGGGGATGATGTGTATGTGTATGTAGTGTATGTTATGTTGATGGAAGGATGGGATGATGTGGTGTGTGTATGTAGTGTTGTATTTGATTGAAGGAGATAGGATGATATGAGTATATATGAGTGTTGTGTTGTATGTTGATTGAAGAGATAGGATGATATGTATGTATGTTGTATTGTATTGAAGGATGGAATGATATGATGATAGTATGTATATGTGTGTTGTGTTGATGGAAGGATAGAATGATGATGTAGTGTAGGATGATGTAGTGTTGTATATTGTTGATGGAAGGATAGGATGATATAGTAGGTATATGGTGTGGTATTGTGTTGATAGGAAGAATGAGAGGATGGTATATGTGGTATGTGTTATTGATTGAAGGAAGGATGATATAATGTGTATATAGTATTGTATGTTGTATGTTGATGGAAGGATAGGATGTATGTATATGTAGTATTGTATTGTGTTGATGGAAGAGATAGAGATGATGTGGTGTATATATGTGTATTGTGTTGTATTGATAGAAGATGATATGATGTGATATATGTGTAGTATTGTATTTGTATTGATAGAAGAGATAGGATGATGTAGTGTATTGTATGTGTTGTGTTGATAGAAGAGATAGGATGATATATGTATATGTATATGTATGTATGTATTGATAGGAAGGATAGGGATGATGTAGTGTATGTAGTATTGATATATTGATAGAAGGATAGAGATGATATATATATATAGTATTATGTTGTGTTGATGGAAGGATAGGATGATATAGTGTATGGTGTTGTGTTGATGATGAAAGGATAGAGATGATATAGTGTATGTATTGTATTGTGTTGATAGAAGGATAGGATGATATATGTATGTGAGTATTTATGTTGATTGAAGAAGATAGGATGATATAGTATATGGTATTTAGTGTTGTGTTGATGGAAGAGATAGAGATGATATAGTGTATGTGGTGTTGTGTTGTATTGATGGAAGAGATGAGAGATGATGTAGTATTGTATGTTGATAGAAGAAGATAGGATGATATATATGTAGTATTTGTATTGTATTGATGGAAGAGATAGAGATGATATATATGTATATATGTTGTATTGATAGAAGGATAGAGATGATAATATAGTGTATGTGTATTGTGTTGATAGAAGAGATAGAGATGATGTAGTGTATGTATTGTATTGTGTTGATATGAGAATGAGATATGATAATTATATGTATGTATGTTGTGTTGATAGAAGAGATAGAGATGATGTAGTATTGTATTGTATTGATAGAATGATTGAGAATGAGGATGATATATGTAGTGTTGTGTTGTGTTGATGGAAGGATAGAGATGATGTAGTATATGTGGTGTTTGTGTTGGAAGATAGGGATGATGTAATATGTATGTAGTATTGTGTTGATGATGAAGGATAGGATGATGATGTGGTATATTGTGTTATGTTGATGGAAGAGATAGGATAATGGTGTATATGTGTTGTGTTGATGGAAGGATAGGATGATGATGTTGTATGTAGTATTGTATTGTTGTGTTGAATGGAAGGATGGATGATATGTGTATATGTGTGTTGTATGTTGATGGAAGGATGGGATGATGTGTGTGTTGTTATGTTGTGTTGATGGAAGGATGAGGATGGGATGATGTGGTGTTGTTGTGTTGATGGAAGGATGGGATGATGTGGTGTATGTGATGTGGTGTGTTGTGTTGTGTTGTGGTTGATGGAAGGATGGGATGATGTAATTGTATGTTGATGGAAGGATGGATGTATGGTGTGTTGTGTTGATGGAAGGATGGGATGATGTGGTGTATGTGTGTTGTGTTGATAGGGAAGGATGGGATGATGATGTAGTGTATGTTGTGTTGTGTTGATGGAAGGATGGGATGATGTGGTGTATGTGTTGTGTTAATGTTGATGGAAGGATGGGATGATGTGGTGCATGTGGTGGGTGTGAAAGCAAAATGTGACAAAGGTTGTGTATGCCAGGATGGTGTATTATGGCTACATATACTGAGAATTAGGATGCTAGTATGTGAGGTATGTGATCAGCTGATACAAGGTGGGTTATTGATGAGATAGGTGTATGTTAGGGTGGAGTGATGTATCCTATAGGAATTAGTAGAAGGATGGGATGAATTGATGTATGTTAGAAATTGGTTAGGGTTGGAAGGTGATGTATGCTAGGGGTGTTTAGGTGGGTGATGTATGCTAGGGGTGGTTAGGGTGGGTGATGTATGCTAGGGGTGGTTAGAGTGTTGGGGTGATGTATGCTAGGGGTGGTTGGATTGTATGTGATGTGTATGCTACAGGTGGTTAATGGTGATGTATGAGAGGTGGTTAGGGTGGGGTGATGTATGTTAATTAGAAACAAAAGGTAGACATGGGGTTGATGTATGCTAGGAGTGGTTAGGGTTGGGGTGATATATGCTAGGTGGTGGCTAGGGTAAGGGTGTATGTATGTTAATGATGAAAGGTTAGGGTGGGTGATGGATGCTAGAGGGTGGTTAGGGTGGGGTGATATATGTATAACTAGGGGTGGTTAGGGTGGGGTGATGTATGTTAGAGGTGGTTAGGGTGGGAGGGTGATGTATGCTAGGGGTGGTTAGGGTAAAAAGGTGATGTATGCTAGGTGGTTAGGGTGGGGTGATGTATGCTAGGGGTGGTTAGGGTGGGGTGATGTATGCTAGGGGTGGTTAGGGTGGGGTGATGTATGCTAGGGGTGGTTAGGGTGGGGTGATGTATGCTAGGGGTGGTTAGGGTGGGGTGATGTATGCTAGGGGTGGTTAGGGTGGGGTGATGTATGATATGCTAGAAATTGGTTAGGGTGGGGGTGATGTATGCTAGGGGTGGTTAGAAGGGTGAAGTGATGTATACTAGGGGTGGTTAGGGTGGGGTGATGTATGCTAGGGTGGTTATTGGGATGATGTATGCTAGGGGGTGTATTTGGGATGATGATGTATGCTAAAAATTGGTTAGGGTGGGGTGATGTATGCTAGGGGTGGTTAGGGTGGGGTGATGTATGCTAGGGTGGTTAGGAGTGGGGTGATGTATGCTAGGGGTGGTTAGAGGTGGGGTGATGTATGCTAAGGGGTGGTTAGGGTGGGGTGATGTATGCTAGGGGTGGTTAGGGTGGGGTGATGTATGCTAGGGGTGGTTAGGGTGGGGTGATGTATGCTAGGGGTGGTTAGGATGAAGTGATGTATGCTACGGGTGGTTAGGGTGGGGTGATGTATGCTGCGGTTGGTTAGGGTGGGGTGATATATGCTGAGGGTGGTTGGGGTGGGGTGATGTATGCTAGGGGTGGTTAGGGAGGGGTGATGTATGTTAGGGGTGGTTATGGTGGTGTGATGTATGCTAGGGGTGGTAGTAAGGGTGGGGGTGATGTATGCTAGGGGTGGTTAGGGTGGGGTGATGCATGCTAAGGGTGGTTACAGTGGGATGATGTATGTTAGGGGTGGTTAGAGTGGGGTGATGTATGGTGGGGTTGGTTAGGGTGATGTGTGTGGTGATGGATGCTAGGGGTTGTTAGGGTGGGGGTGATGTATGCTAGGGTGGTTAAAAGAGGGTGATGATGTATGCTAGGGTTGGTTAGGTGTGTGTGGTGATGGATGCTAGGGTTGTTAGGGTGGAGGTGATGTATGCTAGGGGTGGTTAGGGTTGGGTGATGTATGGTAGAGGGTGGTAAGGGTAGGGGTGATGTATGCTAGGGGTGGTTAGGGGTGGGGTGATGTATGCTAGGGGTGGTAAGGGTGGGGTGATGTATGCTAGGGGTGGTTAGGGTGGGGTGATGTATGTTTAGGGGTTATTAAGTGGGAATATATATGCTAGGGTTGGTTAGGGTGGGGTGATGTATGGTAGGGGTGGTAAGGGTGGGGTGATGTATGCTAGGGGTGGTTAGGGTGGGGTGATGTATGCTAGGGGTGGTAAGGGTGGGGTGATGTATGTTAAGGGTGGTTAGGGTGGGGTGATGTATGGTGGGGTGATGTATTCTACGGGTTGTGAAGGTGTGACAACCATTGCTACAAATCCAATTACTGTCCTAGTCATAACACACAATCACTGCAGTTGGTATCTGTTTTATGCTGACACAAAGCCTCCTAGACGCGCCCTACATATGCTTTACTTGACATGCTCCAGGTACAGCAAGATAAAAATGTGCTGATTCATCCCTTGCTAGACTTGCTTTACAGGACATTACTTACTGTACTGGTCACTGATCAGCCAACTGTAAATACATTCATTAGAAACTGCTATACATAGCAACTTAACACACATAATATATGTTTAATGGTAATTATTAAGAGTTTTGGACTAAGTCCTCTGTAATAATACAATAATATGATGGCCAACATACTGCTATTCTGATCACATTCCATGCGTAGAATTAATTTACATACAGGTATGCTTATGTATACGGCTGCGCAATATAACCGGTTTACCGGTATTAACCGGTTCAGACATGAAAACGATACGTATTGCGATACGCAGATAGAAAACCGGTATTTTGACTTGTATTCGGAAAACTTCGTAACACTCGGAAATCTTGATGATCGTGGCAACTGTGGTAACGGTGGTGGGAATGATCGTGGTGAAAATTACATTTAAATATTATCTATATTCTTATTTTGTCATGATTAAAAGTTTTTATTAAAGCTTAATGAATCATAGTGATTTTGTTGTGTTTTTGCTTTATAAATAAAGCGTTAACTTGATCATTAGTCGTTTATTGTTAAAAAAACCTTCTTGCAATATATTGCAATACATATCGCAACATAAGCTTTCGCATCGCAATATATCGCAATATGAAAATTCTCTGCAATTACCCACCCCTACATATGTATCAGTTAACTCTGGTGAGAGTTACTGTGTGAAATAATGTAACATAGTAGATAAACATCATACGTTGAAGTCAAAATGACTTATACATGAATGACGCCGCCTCAAGTCAGGCCCAACATGCAGTTAGTTACTCACCTGTTACAGTCTTCCTGAAAGCAGACTGTTTCCTGACATACTCTCCCTTCTCGTTTATTGGCAACTTCCACGAGCCAATCACCTTGTTGTCACTTGCGTTACTGTTACCTGAGCTCATCTTTGCAAGTAGTCTGACAGTCGCAACAGGCAAACTTCGGGAAATAGCCGTCAGCGTGATCGTCGATCTCCGCAGTCTTCCGTAAACTTACCGACTGTGAACGAAATGTTTCCGAATGTTTCCGTGTAACCCTAGCAACCCCAAACATACAATACTATCAGTAACAGTTTCACCCCTACAAACGTGTCATACATTACACATCATTTGAATAATAATGTTTTATTAAAAGTAATAAACGTAGCACATGATTCAGGAATATATACGCTTGAACTAATGCGCGTAATGGATATTTTTATATCTCGCATTCCTTGAGGTGCCGTTTTGCTTTTTATTCCGGATTTTATATTGCAAAATAAAGAATTGATATCTGAAATTCGAGTTCATAATATCATGAAACATTTATTGATATCACAAATTCGATTTTAAGATGTCATTATATGCGTTATTGATATTTCGATGTATAAGTTGCAGACCGTGAGGGGTGTGAATAATCAGACACCATATACTGGTATAATTATGGTCTCTGGAATAACTGAACCAGTATCTGCTATCAAGCAATATATGGATTGCTGATATCATGAAACGGGGAATAAATAGTAGAACGGCTCCTCATAGCACTCATCGATTCTTCGGCTGTCACTTGGTGGCGCACAATCCAGAGGTCGATAGCATGAGCAGCCATCCAGAGTTTCGGGCTCTGATGTCACACATTGATGTCACACATATTCCCCCATTCGCTCGCCTCGCGACGGATGATGAGGTACTTGTGGCTATATTCTACTTCTTAATCCCCAAGATGGACATAACTGTGCATATTCCCTTGTCTTTGATATACATGTAGCCTGGTACACACGCTTGTCTGGGAAAGATTTTGTGTGTGGTATGTGTCGGGACATACCTGTTTCCCTTTTCCAAATGTACAATAGCTGACTATGTATTAACAAACATGGCATAGATATCACGGGTGCAGATCCTACAATCGGGCTTGTATTGAACCGTGCATATCGGAGGCTGCCTGTGTGTGTGAGAGAGAGAGAGAGAGAGAGGATGGTGTAGGTGGAGAGGCCGGAATGAATCCCACGAGTATGTTGCTAACAAAGGTAATCAGGGCGAACCTGGAATCCGAACCAACGATCATAGGTATCTGCTACGCCTAAGGGACGCAACCCTGCAAAGTGAATAACGGCATCTGGCGGTCTTGGGCAATTTGGTCTCCCCTGACCCTGCCCGAGCAAACTAGAACAGCACCATGGTGCGAGACCACACAGCGAAAAACTAAGTCACATCCATGTATGTCACATGTACGTATGTATGTATGTATGTATGTATGTATATATGTATGTATGTATGTATGTAATGGATGTAGACATACAAAAATTAGTGTCATGTGTGTCTTGGTCATATTAGGTTATTACAATTCTAAAAATACACAAACTCAGATCTCAGATCTCGATGCATTCCACTGGGGTTTAGTTCAGTCTTCACCTCATCAAGTTCTCCTACCCAGGCATTCATGCGGCCAGCAAAATATGCTAAGTCATGAGTGATTCAGGAGTGTGTCCTCAACTAAGAATCAAATAGAAAGCACACCCAGTTTCGACTCAACGTAATATACCACTGCATTCCAAAATGAAACGTCATCAAGAAGAAACTCTTGGCTTGGCGGGAGCTACCTTTCTGTTCATTACATGGGGTGGGCGAAGGGCCATCACAGCCATGTTGTCGAAACAATGTTAATGGTTTTATATGGGGAGAAGATCTCCAGTATCTCTTTGGATCCAATACCAAACTTAGAAATCTGAGTGAGTGAGTGAGTTTAGTTTTACGCCGCACTCAGCAATATTCCAGCTATATGGCCGCGGTCTGTAAATAGTCGAGTCAGGACCAGGCAATCCAGTGATCAACAGCATGAGCATCGATCTGCGCAATTGGGAACCGATGACATGTGTCAACCAAGTCAACTAGCCTGACCACTCGATCCCGTTAGTCGCCTCTTACGACAAGCATAGTCACCTTTTGTGGCAAGCATGGGTTGCTGAAGACCTATTCTACCCCGGATCTTCACGGAGCTAGAAATCTGAACCCCATAAGCAGATTCTGATTCAGTTTAGAGTTACATACAGGAATAATGTAGCCTGGGTCTATTTCAACATTTTTTATGACCATGAACAACATGTCAATTTTCTGATACTATTGCTTTCACACAAGTATACGCGTATAGACACCTATAAGGTATTAACCCAACTTACCCAGTGTTACGCACTGTATTGTCTCGCTTGCAATGAAACGTCGTCCAATGAAAATAGATCTTTGTTTACCTGACCAATCAGTTTCGGGAATCTATTGGATATTACGGGTAATGAATCCAAAAAGGTAATCAAATATAATGCACAAATCATTGGGTTTCCGCCAAGAGCGGCATTTACCCATCTTCTTCCTCGTTTTACGCACTGACATGTCTCACTGAAACTCTGTGGAGCAGGAGTCTGTCAAACAGTACCTGGATCTCGGCACCGGTAGGAAGACGTCTTCAGTTTTAACCACAGGGGTTCGAATCACTGTTTGGACAATAATTCTTAAAAAATAAAAATCTAGATTTTTGCACCCGTATATTGTTTTTATATGTAATGAGTATGTAATGAGAACATTCTCCCGCTACACTCATTACATAAAATACATTTTCACCATTTCTTCACCGATTTCGTTCAAATTTGAAATATAAGTTACTCATTACATGTAAAAACAATATACGGGTGCAAAAATCTAGATTAATTTTTTTTTTTTGGTCCAAACAGTGATTCGAACCCCTGTGGTTTTAACGGTCTTTCTCGGTGTAAACGGTGACACAAATTCATGATGTTTTCTCCACCTTTTTTCACAACATGTTACGCTAATTCTACAAGCTATCAGAATTCTAGCTATGAAACTGGAATGTGAGATTAAATGAACATAGATTTCATTAACAGCATCAGCTCAATGCAGAAACGCATAGTTTCGGTTTCTTCTCGATCAAAACAATAAGGAGACGAACGGTCATTTAGACACTTTCTATAGGTCGCCGTCATATATGTGACATGTTGCTGTGTGCAATATATAAAACACAAAGCATGCATTGTGTCAACAAAGAAGATGTCAACATGCAGTCTTTGTGATGCGCTTAAAGCGGCCGTAAAATCAACCGCCCGATTTCGTCCTCTCCATGTTTCGTTTTTCACAAGGTACCTCCATGCTTTGCAATATATGTTGATATCGCCTTTGAACTTCGCCCGAAATATCTAAATCATGGAGATAATTCGCAATGCAGGGGAATGATGGTCGGATGCAGGCTGCGAGAAACAACACGCCAGTGGAGCTCTTGCACCAATGTTTGAACCATATAGTGTTACACAGACTTCGTATCTAAATATGAAAGAGAGGAATATGATATGGTTTAATACCGCAATATTTCAGTGGTCTATAACCGAGGGTGCCCATTTTAGTACGCCTGAAGCCATGGTATGTTTATCTGGTACGCGGTGTTTCTTAATTGCAGAGAGTGACAAAATAATTTAATTGTCCACGCCTGATTATATACTGAGGGAGAAAAATAAGGGATCACATGAAAGCACAAGTGTCCTTTTTTTTCCCAGGTTTCTTCACAAGAAAACTTTATGAAGAAACTTATGAAGAAACCTAAGATATAAAGGAAAACTTGTGCTTTCATGTGATCCCTTATTTTTTTTCCCTCAGTATACAATCTATATGAAAAATCCTAGTCTAGGTTATAAGTTGTATACACTGACATGACTCAAGAGTTCTTAAATCGGGTGATGACAGAGGGGGTGGCACTCTCATATCACGAGGGTATTCGGACAGGAAGAACTCTGACCGAGGTTCTCTTATTGTTGACAAATCGACCACATGTTCATTAATTGGGACGAGTAACTATCCCATCCGCCTTCTGTCCACGACCGAAATTCGACAGATTGACGGACGGACTAATCTTTCGCCCATGACGGCAATCAAAGGATTTATCATTCCGTCGGTGTAAGGACTGCTTTTGTAAGTTAATCCTTTGTGTGGGATTGAGAAACTGCAGTGGCAAATACTTGATGTCCCTCGTGCGTTATGAATTTAGTTCCAAACTTTTGTTTGGTATTTATCTGTAAAACGCATCGTTGAGGTCATAAAGATGCACGTTGACACCGTCAGTTTCTCGACAGGGTTTCAATTTTAAAGACACTACTTCAGGACTACATTTATGACCACGAGAATGTTCTGACTGACGAGACCTAAAGAAATTATAATGATAGATTTTTCAACAAAACCCACTTCCATATTGATACACTTTTACCAACGATGCTTGAGGGATATTATTCGTGGAGGTATTTCTCTTTGCTGCCCAAAACGTTCACCACTGCCGATGTCACATCGTCGAAATGGGAACCTACTGAAGCTTTCTTCATGTTCGGAAACAGATGGAGCAAGATTAAGGTCCGACTGCATAAAGCGACCTTAGCGCGAATGTAATATTAACTCCCATAATTTGACAAATAAAAGGCTTATGATTGTCGTAGCGCTAAGATGGTTTTGTGCAAGGAGAATAAGGAGGGCGTTGAAGGGATTATATCGAAGGCACACTCGTGGATTGTAACCAGTGTCATGGCTGATTTGTGTAGCATTGTCAGATGGAGGAGAACACTCTTTCGCTGCTTAGTGTTAATTTCATCCCGTAATTGCCCATAAAGTGTAGCTCTGATAATTGTCTGGCGTTTTGTGAAGGTGTACCACTACGACAACACAGCCCTCTGTATCCTAGGTCACGGAAACTATATATAACCCTTCCAGCGTTCTTTACAGGTAGTGAAAGAACATGTTTGAATCAGCTGCTCGTCATCCCATCACAAGGAACCTATAACCCTTCTAGTCTTCTTAGAGGTGGGATAGCCTAGTAGTTAAAGCGTTGGCTCGTCACGCCGAAGACCCCGGGTTCGAATCCCCACATGGGTACAATGTGTGAAGCCCATTTCTGGTGTCCACCGCCGTGATGTTGCTGGAATATTGCTAAAAGCGGCGTAAAA